CCCCCCCCCCCCCCCCCCCTGACCCCGGACCCCGAGTCGCACGCCCCTCCCTTCTTCCGGAGCAGACAACACAGCAGCGGTGCACACACAGCACATGGGCTTCAACCGGCAGGAGCAGGATGTGTTTTTCCTGCCCATCCTGGTGGTGGACAGCGGGCCGCCCACCCTGAGCAGCACGGGCACGCTCACCATCCGCATCTGTGGCTGCGACAGCTCCGGCACCATCCAGTCCTGCAACACCACAGCCTTCGTCATGGCCGCCTCCCTCAGCCCAGGCGCGCTCATTGCCCTCTTGGTCTGTGTCCTCATCCTGGTCGGTGAGTCTACCCCCCGCGCCCCCCCCCCCGCCCCACTGGCCTTCACCCTGAGGCCCTGGGTTTCCTTCCTAGTCGCCCCCACGGGGCCTCAGCTGCCCCTCCCACAAGGAAGGGTGGCCCGAATGACAGGCTCCCGTGACAAGTCTTCTAAGTACTCGGCAGTCCCCCCACCAGCTCCAGAAAGTGTCGACCCCCACCCGTGACCACTTTCATGCTGGCCGCCCTCTACACAGCCCAAATTCTCCCTAAAATGTTTAAAAACCCAAGCATCTTATAAAAATATGTCCATTGTCCTAGGACTTTAGAAAAAAAGGGCTCTTGTGAATCTCACAACCACTTAGCCGGCTATCGTCCCCGTTTTTCAGATGAGGAAACTGAGGCCCCTAGAGGTTAAGTGGCTTACATAAGGGTACGTGGTCTTCTGACTTGAAATCAGGCCTGCTCACCTCGTGTGCCTTGCTCCTTTAACGACACCACCTGCTACGAATCGCAGCTGGGACAAACTCTTGGGGCAGCTGGGGCAAAATCCGAAAGACATTTAGTGGAAGCAAACTCTCCTCCTGTAGCAATCCTATGGGCAGCCAGTGGAACCCACCTGGTGTCACCAGTGAAGAGGCCAAGTTCCAGGAGCTAAGGGGGATCCCAGTGGCCATAAGGCCACCTCTTTCCTGTCGCAGCACAAAGGCCTCCCCTCAGCTCTGGCCGCTGGACTTCGCCGACCAGCCAGAGCCCCAGGAACTCGAGCGCGGTCCAGATCGCAGACACCAGCTTGGCCCAGTTCCCTGGGAGATGTCAGCTGCCCACCCCCAGCCCCAGGCGTGGCCCGGCCCCCCCCCCGGGTACCACCCGCCTGCGCCCCCGCGGCCCCCCCCCCCCCCCCCCCCCCCCTCCAGGGGCCCCGGGCGGGCTCCCCCTAGCGGGGAGGCCCCCCCCCCCCCCGCCTTGTCTCCCCTCCCCAGCCCATGGCTCAGAAACCCTTTTTCCAGAGGGTGCACTTTACAGCGGTTTCATTTTCCAAGGCAGTGCAAACAAATTTCTGCCTAATTGCCCACAAACGAAGAAAGTGCACATCAGTGCTCTAAAGGTGACGGGCGGAATCGCTGATCAGGCCTGGCACATCTGTTGCCCGCTGCCCGCGCTCCCCACCATCTGCTCTCTCGGGCATCCCCCTCCGCCGCTCCCAGCCTCCGCTCCGAAAGCCGTCCATCCATCTTTCCCACTTCTCTCCTGACACCTTCCCTCCCTCCGGAGCTGTTCCCAGGCCCTACCCCCTTCCCTGTCACGCGCCACCTTGTTAGGTCGTGTGCGGGAACCCGGCCCCGTGGCCCTAGCAGCTGGCCCGGCCGGAGGTGTTAGGCACAGCAAGAAGAATCCAGAGCCTGGCGTGGTACCCGGCGTGTGTGTCTCCATCCACCTCCTCACCTACCCATTTAATTCTCTCATTGGTTCATCGGCTCCTTATTTATCCATCCAGTGAGTCCCCCCATGTGCTAACCTATTGTGGGCGCTGGAATTCATCCGTGAACAAAAGAAACAAAAAGCCTGAAGTAACTACAAAGTTAAAGTAGCCATCACGGAGACGGGGGAAACTGAAGAAGGGGAAAGATTATTTCAAGTTTGGACGTGTTAAGTTTGAAATTCTCCGGGTCGACCCAGAGGACTTGCTCAGTAGGAAATTGGGCATACAATCTAGATTTCGGGGGAGAAGTGAGTCCGAGCCCGGGGCCTGAGATGGGGGGCAGTTATCAGCCTCCACGTGGAATGCAAAGCCAGCAGATCGTACAAAAGCCCCCAGACAGGGGTGCGGATAACGGGTCAAGGACTGAATCCTGGGACATATGATGTTAAGGGGTCAGACAGGCGAGGAGAAACCTGCTTAGAAGACCCAGAATGAGTGCTCGGTGAGGTGATGGGGGCGGGGGAGAGAATGTGGAGTCCTGGAAGTCAAGGGCACAGAGCAAAATCATTGTCTCAGCCTTACGCGCACCACGTCTCCATCGGCCTCTTCGTTCAGTCATTCAGCCAACAAGCACACTTCAAGGGGCTGACCGCCTGCCTGGAACCAGGCCAGGGGAACGCTCCCCAGGTCCCGGAGGGGAGTTTAGAGTGTGTATGTTGAGGCGGCTCTAACTGCCAGGAGATCTAGGACAGGACCCGACAAGTCACATTTCCAGCAAGTTCGAAGGAGATACTGATGCTGCTGGACCAGCAAGTGGGCGTTGAGAACCCCTGCGACAGAGGGAGGAACGGCTCACCAGGGGAGCTTGGAGGTGAAGGCACTCAACCTGGCTGGCCTGGAGCTCTTGGGGAAGGGCTCCTGCTGGAGACTATCTTGACCTGAGACCCAAAGGGCTAAGCAGGTGCTCCCCCTTCTGGAGGGCCAGGATGAAAGAGAGGTCAGGTTCAGTCCCATCTGCCCCGTCAGCTGCCCCCTTTGTACACCCCACCCCCAGAGCCTAGAGACGTCTCAGGTTGTATCTCCGTAGAGTTGAGGATGGAGACTTCAGAGGGTGGGTCCAGCCCCCAACACCCATGAAATCCCTTAACACCGCGGCACGGTGGTCTCGCCTCTATTTGCACGCCTCTCAAGATGGGTAGCTCACTACCTGTCCATCTAGCCAGCACAGTTCTGACCGTAAGAAACGTCTTTGTGCACAGAAATCTAGGAAATGTGCACCAGTGTCTAGGCTGGGCCAGCTCCACTGGGATGTGAGGAGTGGGGGGTCCCCCGGAATGCCCTGGGCGGGCCTCGGCCCTCACTCGCCCCCTTCTGTCTCCCTCGCAGTGCTGGTGCTGCTGATCCTCACCCTCAGGCGCCACCACAAGAGCCACCTGAGCTCGGACGAGGACGAGGACATGCGGGACAACGTCATCAAATACAACGACGAGGGCGGCGGCGAGCAGGACACCGAGGCCTACGACATGTCGGCGCTGCGGAGCCTCTACGACTTCGGCGGCGAGCTCAAGGGCGGCGACGGGGGCGGAGGCCCGGCGGGCGGGAGCCCGGGCGGCGGCGGGGGTGCGGGCAGCCCCCCGCAGGCCCGCCTGCCCTCGGAGCACCACTCGCTCCCGCAGGGGCCGCCCAGCCCCGAGCCGGACTTCTCGGTGTTCAGGGACTTCATCAGCCGCAAGGTGGCGCTGGCGGACGGGGACCTGTCGGTGCCGCCCTACGACGCCTTCCAGACCTACGCCTTCGAGGGCGCGGACTCGCCGGCCGCCTCGCTCAGCTCGCTGCACAGCGGCTCGTCGGGCTCCGAGCAGGATTTCGCCTATCTCAGCAGCTGGGGCCCGCGCTTCCGGCCCCTGGCCGCGCTCTACGCCGGCCACCGCGCGGACGACGAGGCCCAGGCCTCCTAGCGCCCCCGTCCTGCCGTCGGGGCGCGCCTCCAGGCCCACTGAGGGCCCGACGGGGCCCCGGGACCCAGCATTTCCCCTGCTCACCCCCTTCCCCAGCTCTCCCACCCTCCCAGGGCGGCCGGACGGGAGGGAGGACTCGTTGGGGGCGGACACCCCGACGCCCCCTCTGGCCCCCCACCCCCCCCTCCCAGGGGGTGGGGTGGGGCAGCTTTTGCCCAGACATACGGGAATTACCACCAACGTCATTAAAACTGCAGCGAGACCCGGCACTGCGTGGCTCTGGGGTGAGAAGGGGGGATAGGGCCGCGTTGCTGGGTGGAGAAGGGAGGGGGTTACTCACTCCTGGCAGGTGAGGGAGGAGGGAGGACGCTGCCGAGGTGTCCCCCCTCCCAGGTCTCCCCCATCGGAGTTAAGAGAGAAGGAAGGCTGTTCATTTACTAAGCGCCTACTGTGTGCTGGGACACTGCAGAGACCATCTGTTTTCACAGAAACCATGAGGTGGGGCCCTGCAGGTAACAGAGGGAGAAGGCCACCCAGAGAAGTGGCCGTGACCTGTCCAAGGACACCTAGCCAAAACGGTAGAGCCTCTGGCACTTAACTTACCAAGCTGCCTGGCCTTGGGCAAGTGACCTCACTTCTCTGGGCCTCAGTTTCCTCCTGTGTCACATGAGGCTAATAACAGAACCTACCTCCAAGAGTCCTGAGGATTAAAAAAAGGGTTCGTATGTGTCACGTGGTTAGGACAGTGCCTGGCACATAGTAGGTGTTCAATAAATGTTAGCCTTTGACACTATTGTTATCTTTGTCGTTATTAGAAGCCCACCGCGTCTGCCTCCCCCTATGGCTCTCTCTGTGACCAGTCACCCTCCCCCTTTCCCCAACATCTCCAAGGGAGAAGAAAATGGTGCCAGCTGTTGGCTCTGCCCCTGCCCTGAGTAGGGAACAGGGACATTCTCAGGGACAGTGGAGCCTTCCAGAGTCTCAGGTGGGACTGGGAGAGAGAGGACCCCTGGCAGGGGTGCCGAGAGGAGAACCTGGGCAGCTCTAGGACTTGGGTGAGGTGAGAGGGCTGGCAGGGGGTGGAGGGGCCAGAAGCCACTGGGTGTAATGGGGACCTTATCTGTTCGGTCCAGGAGCCCATTAGTCTCCCCATTCATGGACCCCACGTTAAGACAGGGCTAAGTCGTCTTTAAGAGCCTCCAGCTCTAAAACCATTTGATTGGTTAATTGTCCTCCTGCCCCACCTCCAAGTGATTCATTCATCCCGCATGGATCTGTTGTAAGTTCCAGCCCTGCTAGCTGGGCAGCCTTCATCAAGGTCCTCAACTGCTGAAGCCTCAGTTTACTCATATGTAAAATGGGGCTAATGATAGTTCCTCCCTTAAAGGGTTGTTAAGAGGCTTAAAGGAGCTAATGAATGTTAAGCTCTGATCCCAGTGCCTTCCTGACGCCTTGCAAGTGCTCAATAAATGTTCATTAGCGGTTTGTTTTTTTTTTTAACTCTTCCAGGGAACATTCATTGATTCCCTCCACATTTGCCAAGGTCCACTGTGACACATCCAGAGATGGTCATTCTGTCCTGAGTGCCTTATCATTTCATCTAAGTTAGATACTGTCAGCCCCACATCACAGGTGAGGAAACTGAGGCACAGAATGTCGTAGTGCACCCAAGTTTACACAGGTCATAAGTACTTCCTGCCTTCCAGCCAGCCAAGGCCCCACTGGGCCGGGTGCGGTGGGCAGACGCAGCCAATCATAATGCACTTGATAAGAGTTGTAGCAGAACTAACAGAACAAGGTCCTGCCAGCACTGAAAAAAGATTGAATCATTTGTGGAGGGCTTCCCGGAGGAGGTGACTCCAGCCGGATCGTAAAGAATGAGATGTACGAGACGACCAAGCAAGCAAGAGCATTCCAAGCAGAGGGAAGAGCATATTCCAAGGCGATGATGGGGCGGAGGCCGGAAGCCTGTGGTGGTTCTGGGGACAGTGTATGGTCCCATGGATCAGCGGGTGGAGAAACGGTGAGATGTGAGGCAGGGAAGGCTGGTTGGAGGCAGGAGGGGAAAGGACCTAAAGTCCAGGCCAACAAACCTTCCTCAACTCGAGCATGTCTGCTGATGTCCACTGAGGGTGGCTCATGGCAGGTATATGAGCTGAGTGAGGCAGTCCCAAATGGGGTGGTATTGGGACCCTCCTCCCATGCAGGACACTTGGCCCATGGTTCCCATAGCTCTTCTACAAGTGGGCACGGTAACAGGGCCCTGTGGGGAGACACGCCATTCCCTCCCTCACCCGCGTGTACTCCACTGTCACAGAATCCCGGCGACATTTCTCAGATTGATTATTGCTGTCTCCATTGTATTGGGGGAAGCTGAGACCCAGAGGAGGGAAGTGACTGGTCACTTGGCCCGGCTGGTACAGGACAGAGCTGGGACAACAGAGGACCCCTCATTCCAAGTCTCTGTTCTTTGCACATGTGCTGGTTGCCTTGACAGAGTCTGACCCTGACAAGAAAGAGGTTACATGCCCAGAGGGACGTACAAACGGGCCTCCTTGAATATCTTGTCCAAACTCCACACATGGGGGATGACCTTCCCAAGGCCACACAGAGTTTTAAAGATCTTGCCAGACATCAAGAACATTATTCATCCAGATTCACCTTCTGAGCCTCGGGCTCTACCATTTACCAGCTGTGTGGCTTTGGACGTACCATTTGCCCTCTCTGTGCTTCCGTTTCCTTATCCATAAAGTGCCCACGCTGAGCACACCTGCTCCATAGGGTTGTGGCGAGGATGAAATGCTGTCATGACTGGAGATACTGAGCCTTTCTCACGTGCCAGGCACTGCCCAAAGCATGTCATGGTGAACGAACCCATCTAACCCCACAACCACCCGATAAGCAGCCCTCATGTTATGGGTGAGGAACGGAGGCACAAAAAAGGTTGAATACCTTGCCCAAGATCAAACAGCTGATAAAGAGAGATGCCAAGACTTTAGCCACGTGTTCTGGCCCTCGGCACCCGCACCCTCAGCGGCACGCCCAGTGGCCGGCCCATAGGAAATCGTGAACGAGTGGCCCGGACACATCGGGATGTCGCTGCCTGTGCCCCGGGAGAGCTTGCTCTCCGCTCCCTGCTGCGGTCTCTGGCCCGTGGGAGGCCTCAAGCCTTCCCATGATTTCTTCCAATTCCGGGGTGGGGTGTGGAGGCGATGCCTCCCCCGTCTCCTCTGCTTCCGGCTCCTGTGGCCACACTCACCATCCCCACTGGACTCTGAGCCAGTCCAAGAGGGAAGTCCAGTGGGTCCAGCTGCTGCGCTGGGCTCCGCGAGGCGTCCACTGATGCCGAGCATTTTGCGAGCAACTGTTCTGATGAGCTGGGGGGCGTGGAGAAGGGTCCTGTTGTGGAGCACACGGCCTCTCGCCATCTGTCTCCCGGGTTCCCACCGAATTCCCCCCGGGGGGAGCTCCAAATCCTCTCCCTGTGCCAGGCAGAGAGCACGGCCATCCCCCCCACCGGCTCCAGGCTCTCGCTGGCCACACCCAGCTCCATCAGGGAGCTCAGAACACAATGAGCGTTCCATTTACCATGTCTGCCCTCTCTGCCAGGCGTCTGGGGAAATGAAAAGAATCCCCCTTTATTGTCATCATCTCCGTCCCCGTCCTCGTCACAGGACAGAAGGGGATTCGGGGTCACGAGCAAGAATTGGCATGTAATTGGCCAAGGATTTTAGAACCAGGGACGTTAACGACCGCGACGGTGATGGTAATGACGGTGACGGTGACAGCCCACTTGCCTGGCGCTTGCTGCGTGCCCTAAGCCCCGTTCTGAGCCCTGAACATAATTATCACAAGCACAGGTAAAAGCCATGGAGGGTGGGCTCTGTGTTTACTGTGTTCAGCTCATTACGTAAGTTGCAGTGTTGAATTGCAAACAAGTCGGTGATTAGCCCTAGTTTACGGACGAGGGATCCAGCGCTCGCAGAGGAGGAGAGGCTTGCCGGAGGCCACAGAGCTTGTAAGGGCGGGACTGTTGCACGCACACCGCCCCTCGATTCTGCCCAGGACCCGGACAGCTCAGATTCGGAGTGGAGTTTTGGGGCTGGGGGCGGAGAGAGGAGCAGCTGGTGAGGAGGGGGGGGGGGCCTGCAGACAGATGGCCGAGCCGGGAGGCAAGGTGGCAGTGGGGCCGGGGCTGCGGTGCGTGCCCAGCTCTGCATCTCCGGGGCGTCCTGATGTGCGTGTGTCTGCATGTGGCTGTGGGCACGCACCGGGGAAGTGGGAAGCCAGCACTCAAGCACACAGGTCAAGAACTAACCTCCCGCCTCCCGATTCCGGATTCCGGGGGGCGGAGGCCCAGAGAGCCGGCTGCTGTCCTAGGGGGCGGCTAAGCGCCCGCATCCGTCAGCCGGCCGTCATCGCGGCCCACCCCCGGGTCACGAATCAGCAGCTCCACTTACCTCCTGCCAGCAAGCGCTCTCGGGCCAGCTCTGTCACTGGCCGCTGAGCCTTTGGAAAACGTAACCCTGTCAGCCCTCACTCTGAGGCGAGAGGGTTTACGCTTCAGTGCCTGCACATGAGTGTGGGAACACGGCCACGTGCCCATGCCGGCTGGTGATGCATGAACATGTGGACCCCCAGACACGCTCCTACCTGCGTGCACGGTGCAGACGTATGCATGCTCACAGCCATGCACACAGAGCGTATCTGCAGCTCTGCAAATGTGGTCACATGCCCATACACTGCACGTGTACTGGAGGCAAGCTCTCACGTGCACACTCCCATTTGTACACAAACCATACACACACCTTCTGTAGCTGTGTTCTCTTACACGCGTGTGCGTGTGTGTCCGCTGGTACGCTTCCATCTTCCCCTCCAGGCGTGCACCCATGCGCATTCATGGCACCCCCACGCAGTAACCCCGCACATGTATGTGTATCCCCTCAGACGTGCACATGCACACGAACCCATAGCTCCATGCACACATTCATAGTGCATATGCACATTTGCGTGCCTGCATAGGAAAGCATGTATAGGCTCAGGAACGCTGTTACAAACTCTAAGCTCAAGCACATAATGCCTATAGATCCGTTTGCCTGCATGAGCACATAAGGCACATAAGTCCGTGTGTACGTAAAGAACACGATCTCTTAGAAACATACAAGCGTTCAGAACTGCACACACGTGCAACAATATATACCCCCAGGCCGCTGCCAGCCTCCACGTGTGTACCTCTGCTTCCAGAATGCAGTCCTCAGGCACCTGACCAGCTCTACCCACGCGTCCCTTCAGGCAGGCCCACCATGGATCACTCACAGCCTCGCCATCTGATCCTAACTCCGCACACAAGCGTGCACACAGTCATGTGCCTCTGAAGCCCAGCTCCCCTGTGTGTGTGAGGTCACAGCCCTGGCACACGGGTGCACACATCCCCCTCCAGGGTGCAGCCTGCCCCAGTCCCAGATTGTCAGGTGTGCTGGGGACAGCAGGAATAGTGCCCACACACAGAAATCGCCACTTGTGCAAAATTGCATCTGCCGCAAACTTCTCATCCGCTGTGCACATGATGATTAACTGTTATTGTGCAAGAGAAACCGGCAAGGAGGGATTCATTAGCGTTATTGTCAGGAAGGACTCCATGGGCTCCAGCGCCCAATTCCAAGGCTGGCTTAACCCCCTGTGTGCCGGGGGCACCATGCTCGCAGAGCACGAAGGCCCAGGAGACGGATGGCAGCACTGGGCCCACGCAAGCCAGCCCGGGTGCCGAGAGCACTGGGGAGGGAGTCATGAGTC